AGGGTGCTCAGCAGACTTGCTGGATGAAGGAATAAGTCCATCCCTGGTCCTAAATGGACAGACTGGCTTTATTTTAAGCACCATGTATTACCGATCAGTCCTGCCATTCTATCAGTGTGAATAGTGAGTGGCGGAGGTGAAGTTTAAGTTTCATAGTTACATCTGAAATAGGCTCTCGGATCAGTAACAAATTGCAAGCATGATGTGAACGCTTTTTAATCTTTTTGGGTAAATATATTTTAAAATAAAATTTTTGTGGTTTTCAGAAACCTTAAAGTTTAATCTACTGGATTTTCAGATGGACTGATTTTAAGTCAATTTATTTCTTTTCCATTTTGAGCAATAAATTAAATTTTCAGACTAATCACTTTGCTTAGGCTTATTCTTGGTAAAGGTGCAAATGCAGGTGTATTGGCTCTTTCCTTGAAAAAAGATAAATCTGTCAGATAGTCAGCTCTACTCTTGTTTTTTTCAGTTACAGCACAATTTTTTTTTAATAATTGCGTAGAAGAAACTATGTGGGTTCTTCTCCCCAGCCCCCATCCCTTCCTCCTCCTTTGATGCCTGCAGGTCAGTGATCAAGTTAATGCTTCTTATGTACGTGGGGTAGAAAGTGAGAGTGGGGCACTCAGGCCTAATCTTCGGCGACTGACACTTCATAGGCCTCTGAGTTTGAACCCCTTCATGTCAAATGGATTTCGTGCAGCTGAGTGAATTCCCTTTAGATCTGCCTTAGAGAGACGGAGCCTCGGCGAAGAGGCATGTAGTTTAGCAGAATGTAAGTCATGTCCCCTCTCTGTTCACTACACATGATTCTGTTAAAACTTGCACAGTGCGAGGATCTGCTCTGACTGGATGTCACCTGAGGGAATAAAGTCATTTATCTAGATTACTTTTTTCCTCCCTTTCTCTTGACTTTTAATTCCATAGCTACAGGCAAGTCAGTAAGTCGTTGCTCACACATATTAAATATATTTAATGGGCAAAGAACTGCAAGTACTGACTGCAGTTGAGCTCTAGCCAGTTCCTTTTTTTTTTTCTTAAAGAACTTGACAATTGATTCATATGTAATTCTATTCCCAAAGAGGAGAAATGTTTCTTTTGTTAGCTATTCACACTTTTTCTTAGTCCTTTGTAGTCTGACCCCTTAACTTTGATACATTTGAAACTTCTGTTCAATGTTTTTCTGGGGTAGAAGAGAAGAAATCTTTAAAAAAAAAAAAAGTGATCAGAGGGGGAATCTGATGGCACATTTACCTTCGGCTGCACTGAGCATTTGAAAGCTCTTCCTGGAGGGCAGGGAGTTCCCTCCCAGGAAACAGACTCCTGCCCTGAAACATATTTTAAAAGTTAGGTGTGTTTCTTATAATAAAAATTCATCTTCAGGAATTAATGATGTTTTTAATGATCGTTTTCTAGATAACTTCACATCTCTGGTGGACCAAGCAGAATAAGATATATTTTAACAAACTAGTATAAATATGAACAGAAAACGAAAACCAGTAGAGACCATTAATAATAATGACCTGAACCGAGCACCTGAAACAAAGCTCCACCATCTTTGCTTAGACTCATGGCATGTTCTCGGTCACAGGAAACCCAGATTACCCAGAGATTATACCAAAGGAATCAGCAGTACTCCTCATTTTTTAATAATAGTTTAAGTACAATAATTGCAAAGAAGAAATTATACAAGGGATACTGAAGCTAAGAAAAGCTAAATTGTTGGTTATGTAGAGTTAAGAAGCTTTTTTTTAGTTGTTTCATAACCTCAATGTGGTTTCTTCAGATTTGGTCTGACTTTTATATACTTTTACACCTTACATGAATAGGATGTCATTTACACCCCTACGAGTGGCCCCTGTCCAGGCTCCAGGTACACTGTGCATCTGCACACCAGCACCGGCTCAGGGCACACTCAGCCAAGGTGCCTGTGATGACCGGCTGGCTCAGGTCATTTGGAACCCAGTGCACAGTGACTCTCCATGCTAGGCAGTCCTATTCACTCCCCGAGTGATGTCATCTGCTTCGTTGTGTGTCCAATATGGTCAAGGAGCAGGTAACACCTTTCTGTGACTCAGCAGAGCACAGATGGAAGTGTGAAACCAAGCCTTTCCTTGGTACGAAGTAAAAGCCCAGTTGTTGGAAGGTACCATTAACCATCTTCTTTATTTCTTCTGATGCATTTAGATGGATCCTGAATACCGTGTGAGAAAATTTTTGGCCCTCCTAAGAGAAGAAGGAGCGTAAGTACACACAACACTTAAAACCCTCAACCAAACCACATGCCTATTCTAAGAGTTGCTTTATCATGTGTATAAATTTGATGGTGTCTTTCTTAGATGACTTTGCTTCCACTTATTAGAGTTCTTTGCTGTGTTGTAGGTCTGAAAGACCAAGCAAGGAAGGTGGTTGTACTGTTGGTTTGCTTTCCCTGTCCTGCTTCACAAACCTTCCTTGCCACAGTGCGGGAAAATCTTGAGGGTACATATACATTGGAACCTTCTTCTACATGCATGGGGCTGTGATCATTTTCTTTTGTGAAGTGCTCATCTAATAGCAAATGCATAGTAGAAAATGTAGAAAAAACCGTTAAGAAGCTTTTAGTGATTTTGTGATCAATGACTTTTTGTGGATCCTCATCTGGGTTTTTTTTTGTGTGTGTTTTGGGTATTTCTTTTGCAGTAGCCCCCTTGACTTTGATTGAAAATGGACTATTTGCAACACACAGTGACCCAGGGAAGTGACCAAGTTGAAGATGGCCTGGGATCGTCACTCATCTTACTCACGATACTGGACTAAGTGGAACATCTTCTACCTTCAACACAGGCTTGCTCTGCATGATTAGTGCAATAAAACTCCCTTCCTTATGCTTAACGAGATATTCCAGTGTTTCGTGGAAGGTGTCAATTTGCTTTAGAATGCTGTGCTTACCTTTCCATGCAAGCTAAGACGATTCGTTCTTACTCAGTCTCCATATGGGAAGCATCCTGTACTTGTGGACACTATACATTTCCAGCTCTCTGCCACCTCCACCATCACTATCCAAAAACTCTCAGTAAATGTAATGAACGTTGTAGGACAACACTCGGCCTATTGGAAGGTCGACTTTCTACACGCTAGCCAGGAGTAGTGAATCAAGGCGTGGGGCACAGGGATCCTTTATAGCTTTCCTGAGCTAACACTAAAGGTAGTTGGGCATTTGGTAAAGGTTCTCCCACAAAACTGGTTGTTATCTTTGCCTGAAGAAACAGGGTTTTGAATACCTAAGATGCTGTTCTCAATCATTTTCAGAGATGTTTCCAAGTTGCAATTAGGAGATCTTTCTTAATAGAAAGTCAGATTATTACTGTGTTGGCTGTAACTTCCCCTTAATGTAACTAATTTGCTCTGTGGTAAGGGATATGCTAATTATTGCTGCTTGGTAGATGTTAAAAACGTGTGCAGGTATGGAAAGGTGTACACCCCTAAACAGAAAAGAGTTATTAAAACAAAGTAATTTACAAACCTCCTGGCACTAATTAGTGTCCAACTCTAAGTGGGTCAATTCCTTAGTATAATATTAAAAGCTTATTAGTATC